ACGTTCTTAAGAAAAAAAATTATGCAGTACTACACTGAATTACAGGTTTACTGAAAAATTCAGAATTTTCAATATTCGAAAAATAGTCCTTCTTACGAAAACTTTTTTAAAAAGTCAACACAAGATTTAACTGCATGATATTAACGTTCTGTGTTAGATAACAATGAAAGTGAAAATTATTATTGATTAAAGTGTATATATTTGAGGTAGTATTGCTTACTGATGTTGAGATTATCTGAGGCGGTCTTGGATCGTCGAAATGTTATTGGGAATAAAAAGACAGTTGCAGAGAAGAAAATTTTCTTTTTGACAAAATCATCAACTATCATGTATATTCGTGTATTTATAATAAATGGTTGGGAAAGTTCCAGAATAATTTCCAGTCAAGAGGCAGATTAATAAGATTACAATTAGGAATTAAAATGTCATAATAAACAGGGGGACTGATAAAGGCCGAACAAAGTAGCATCATAATTATTGGGAAGATTTACATATTGTACAATTGGGGGTTAGAAATGTAGAAATAACAAAAATATACAAGATTTTTGGATAAAAAATCTAGTGGGATCATAACTAATGTGATGAAGAAAAACGTAAAAATAACATGAATAAACAGGAAGTTTGGATAAGAAAGGCAATGGGATAGTCACTATTAAAAGAATTACCTGTTTATGGTGGCCAAGGCAGGGACAAGGGTTGATATAAGAATAAAACTTGTGCTCTGTGGTAGAGTGTAATTCCATTATGGGTTAATTTTGTTTTGATGAATTCTCACAGTGTTATACAGTAATGTTTACTGATAAGGGACAAGGGTTGGACGTATTCCTTTTGGATACATAGCGTGGGTTTAAGCTTTCGGATGGTTAGTGCCTTGACCATGCCCAGATGTCTTAATTTTACTCCATTTGATAGCTTCGGTTGAATCTTGTATATTATTTTGAAGGATTTTTTGAGTGAAGCTCAATGTCCTGAATTGACCAGATGTTCTGCCACTTAACTGTATACACGCTTTTGGTCTCCTTTCACTAGCCAGGCTGGATATTCATGTTATTTTAAGTTTTCCTTAATCCGTATTTACACTACCATAACTTCCAGTCTATTTTGTCATTTTACTATTTGTACATATTTAATCCCTGATTGCATAAACAGTTATGCGTCACATTCGTCATGATCCCAATAGATTTTTTATCCAAAAATCTTGTATATTTTTGTTATTTCTACATTTCTAACCCCAATTGCACAATATGTAAATCTTCCCAATAATTATGATGCTACTTTGTTCGGCCTATATCAGTCCCCTGTTTATTATCGCATTTTAATTCCTAATTGTAATCTTATTAATCTGCTCCTTGACTGGAAATTATTCTGGAACATTCCCAACCATTTATTATAAACACACGAATATACAGGATAGTTGATGATTTTGTCAAAAAGAAAATTTTCTTCTCTGCAACTGTCTTTTTAACAATTCCTATGATCCAATGTGTATATCCCATCAATTATTATTGATCAAGTGGGGAATAAGTGGAGGTGAAGCGTTAAATCTTCATTGCCTTCGAACCATTAGTCCGGCCGTTTACCAGTTGAACTTCAAGATGTTAGCTGTTAACCGTGTTATTATTTCACCCCAGTCAGGAGGACTTAGGTTGTAAAGTCTAGCTAATAGAGCTAGAGGCATCTTGTTCGAATCCTACCGCCATCCAAAACTTTCAAATCAGCTTCAATCATTACTGACTACTATATTTCTTTTGGTTGTTAATTTCTTTCTAAAGCAGCTTCTTCAATTCTCATGTGCTCTTACCATTTCAATTTCAAATGAATGTGTACTACATATTTTTAAAAGACAATATCTCGTTAACTTTTGTTTATTGATCTTTCGTTCTCTACTAAAGTTCTCCCCTTTTATTCTATGTTACAAATTTGTTCTAATAGTATACAGTATTATAAAAAGGAGAAACTTCAAATCTCTTCTATCTCATAGTAAGAGAATTTTAAACTAAACTAGTTAAACATCTGCTTATAGGAAGTGATAACTTTTAATACTTTTGTCCCTCATTTATCAGTCAGTATATTTGTTTGATTTTAAGTAAATAAACCTTTATTTAATATTGTGTATAAAAGAAGGGAGATTGGTGTTATTCTATGTAGATATTAGAAAGGCCTAGTACACTTTTGTTCAGCTGAATAAACTTTATCATTTTTTTCTTAGCGTGTTTCTATGACACAGATGTTTAAAGAGTTTAAAGAAAAGATTGTATTTGTCTTTAATCAGTTAGTGACACACTTATTGATGTTACTTAACACAAGGTGATTTCACTTTCCGTTACGTACTTATACATGTATATGTATATGCCTGTAGTATTCATCACTTTATATTCTTCCTACATCCATTTTAAAACTATCGCCTTTACGACATATTATGATATTAAACAAATTTATTATCGTTGTTATTTGACTCGTATCTTATAAGTTATTTTATTGACTGTTTTTTTTAAAAGCTTGTTGTTTCTTCACTTACTATAACACAATGACAGAAATGGTAAATTATTTAAGGTTTGTTTAGATGAAATTTTGATGCATGGGATTTGTGTTGTTTTGAAAAAGTGAAGAGCTTTACAATTCCTTTGAAAGGATGAATCATTTCAAATTTTAGAATCTGACATTTGATTAGGAAAGATAACTTAGATGAACAGTAAATGGTATTATAGTAAACATTATGTTTAGAAAGTAATAGGACAATTTCAGTTGGACGTGTATTTAGTTAACACACTGATGTATGTCAGTGAAGCGGGGAAGATTAGTTGAACATTCGGGAAGGTTATTCACTATAGAAGAAAGGAAAACAGAGAATTCAAGTAGTACAGATATAGTTCTTAACTAGTCTTCTGTCTCTGTAACATTGTATTTCTTGGTCAATAATCACTCAGTGACCTCTTCAGTCTGAAGTGGAATGCTTATCGAATTAACTTAAATCTAACGTAGTCTTATAGTTGAAATCCTACGTCATATCCATTCCTCAAACTTATGTAATTTTGGTTCAGGTCATACATGAGGTGAATGCTTCGATGATTGTAGTCATGTGGATTATCACCTTCTTGAGAAGAACTAGATGATATTTATCGTATTGAAGTTGTTTTAACATGCATCAGCCCATAAATTCTATGAGTGGGGTTGTCTGACAGTAAATCTGTATTAAAAGATAGCAGATAGGTTGTCTGTAGGCTTACGATTCCATTTTCTCACGAGGCTTGTGAATTACTTCCTTCTCCCTATCATTTACAAAATCCTACGCCTTTTTAGATCAATATTTTGGTGTTCTTATGATTTTGTATTATATTTTCACAACCGATAACTAGGTTTTCTTTGTTGAAGCTTTTATATTTGCATACTAGATATGTGTACTAACCATTTCAATAGTTGAAGTTGCACAATTTTCATCGCCGCGTCATATCATGATTTCTATATTCAGATAACTATCCCAGTTACTATTAATTATTCCTGAGAAGTTAATTATTGAAAAACAGAGTAACATTCTTTCTAATACTAATAAAAAAGTGTGATATATGTAAACCCAGTGTATTTTTAGATTGAGTGTAAATATTTAATAGTATCGTTATTATTATTATTCTTGGATTTTTGTCTTGTTGAATGTCACTGTCATTTTTGGTTAACGTAACTATTCTTATATTGATTGACGTTCATCATGATTTTTCTTTAATATGAATAATCTATGTCTGGGAATAGGACCCATTGTGTTCTAGGAAAATTTGTCAACAATACTAACTAACCCACAATATATATATATATATCGTATCTTTTGTAAACTGATGTCAGAACTTTTACTAATATTGACGAAGTAAGTGTTAGTAGCTTCTATTTAAGAATTTTTTCCCTCAATAAGGTACGCAGTTTAATTCAAAAAAGTTCTACATCAAGTACTTTGATGTTTAAATACCAGATTTATAGAAAGTGTCCTTTTTTAAGTTAATGTATGTTATACCTTAACTTTATTTGAGTATTTTCTATAAATGTAGTTTAATGAAATCTGATCTATTTAAATTAATTAATAATTCAAGTTGTCTATTGAAAATAGTTTAGGCTTAGAGGAATAAAGATTTCAAAGCAGGGGAGAATCGGAAAGGCGAGATATGCCTTCATCAAACCTGAAACCAGTTTGGAAATCTTCTACAATGCACTCAGTCAGCATAACACAACAAGATTCGGCTTTTCAACACAAATATGAAGTCAGTCAGATCCTCTATGCGGGTCAGAAACTTGCATCGCGCGTCATCCACAGAGTTTCCAACAAGTTACAGGCTTTTATCAACAGCTGCCAACTTCACTGGCTACATACTGAAGATCAAATGACCAGTCGAACAAAAAGAATTAGCAACAAGAAACTCTGGTGATAGACAAACCAACAAAGAGCCTATTGCTCAACAAATGTGTAGGAGAAAATAGAGATGGATCGGGTATACGTCGAGAAGACCATCGAATGACTTCGTGCTCAATGCGGGCCATCGATCGAGTGGAATCCCAAGCAATAAGTTGATCGTCAGTGAGAGGGTAACATGGAGGAGATGAGAGATTATGGACAATCATGGACACAGTCAGCTGAAGAGGACAGCAGAAAGTAAAACAAAGTAGAGATGTGCTGTAGAAGCCTTATGCTCCACACGGAACCCATGGGATTAATAATAATAATACTAAAAGCTTAAAAATTCCCTCCTCAAAAGAATATTATTGTGGAAATTTATAAAGAATCCTTTCTTATTTCACAGCCAATGGACACTACATTTAAATAACTTTTTAAAAAGTTTCACACTCAAAATGTCTTCAATTTATTTTGTGCATGAAAGGCAGGCTCAGTTTTACGCATTGACCTAGAAATGAATGACTTAGACTATTATTTCAACATTTTAAAAAAAATCTAGCATTACTAATCGACAAATAATTACAAAACAATCAAAAGAAAAGTATGATTTTCAAAACTAAATTACCATTTAGTCTGTAACCAGTTTTCTCTTCCGTTGATGGCGATTGATAATCATTCGTGTTTACGTGTTTTGGGAAAAAGTGTTGTTTTGTTGATGTTGATGATTGAGGTAGTCTCATATTATTATACATTGTTTTATTTTGATTTCCACTCGTGTCTTTATCAGTAGGATCGTTTTCTTTATTTAGTTTATTCCTCAATATATTTTCATTTGGCTTAGACAATTCAGTATTTTCATTTATAGGATCATTTGGATTTTTCACATATTGACTGGTGGAATTTTCATCCTGATTATTTTTCCTAATAGATATTTTCCCATTTTTATCTATTATTTCCAATTGTAGTTTTTCACTTTCTTCTTTATGATAATTATTTAAACAATTAATTGGTATAGGTTTATTACTTTGATCATTGACAGTAATATTGTCATTATCATTGTCTTTAGTATGTTGTACACCGGGTGTGACTGGTTCATTATTTTTAACCAATGAATAATCAGATTGAGTCAACGCCCTTGTATTCTTATTGATCAATTCTTGTTTAAACGTATCAGATTTAAATATATTTGTGGGTAGTGGCGGTAAATTTGTATTAGAGAATTTAGGTACTACAACTACAGCTTCTTCTCTTTTTAATGAATTTGAAGATAAAGTATTCGCCTGATTATTTACATTAGTAATTTCAAGAAGATTAGAATCGGTAGTTTGATTTAAATGAGATTCTTGATTATTATTATAATCATTCTCATCGTTACCATCATCGTCATCATCACCATCGTTTAATGAACATTGACTTGATTCAACAATTTTTGATAATCGTTTCTTTTTAGTTTCACTTGGTACAGAATATAAATTTGATCGATATACAGTGTTAGGTTGAATAATACCGCCAAGTTGTTTATAATTTATATCCATCCATGATTCTGATTGTGAAGTGTCATAGTGAGCTTCATTTAATTCATCGGAATTCGATGAAGATGTAGAGGAAGGAGATGAAGGAGGTGAATTCGGCGCTGAGTCATCATATTCATTGTCTGAATCAGAAGTGTTAGATACTTCTGATGGTATACCTTTTGGTGTATTGGTTCGACGATTTGGTCGTTTTAATGCAATACGCTTGGAAAGAGTTGAAGAAACTTGCTGCCATAAGAAAATGTAAAAAGATATGATGTGATTAATATGATTAAAATTATTCTATTCTAAGTGGTTACAGAAATAAATGAATCCTGCATTTCTTAAATTTTCTATTTTTTTCCATCCATAACTACAAATTTTTTATGTAGTTTCTAGCCAAACTAATTAGTCATTTTGTTATGACAACTCTATCCATCAAATGGTAGTGAAATATTCAGTTTTGATGTGACTACAATTTAATTTATAGAATATAATTCATGATGGTGAATAATTTGACAAGAGAATGACAATCAAGAAAAAAACTACACCAGTTATTGTTTAGCAATGGATTCATGTACACGATCTAACTTCGCAGGTGTATTATACACCTTGAAGTTTAAATAGACCTGAGGTTGCAACTGCAGACTCCGTTTCTACGGAGGTATTTTGAAAGGATCTCCACTCTGTTACTATATTCTTACACTAATTATGAAAACACCCGAGATTATATTCGCTAAAGCACTTCAAATGAATAGCGTCAGTCATAATGTTTATCCTATAAATTCTGACAATATCAGTGACAGTGAACAAATGCCTCTATAACACTATTAGCTGACTAGATTACAACGTCATTAGTCATAAAGTATATATATATATATATATATATATGACTGGTTTATTGCAGAATATGGAGACTCACGTTTAATGGGGTGCCAGATGGTTTGATAAACAAATCGTTGGGGTCTGTATAAAACCTACTGTTACCTATCTTAGTTTTTATCATCTGATAAGAAGACTTATAAATTAATATTCGCAATTTGCAAGTTACATAGTTCCATGTTAAATTTCACCACAGTGCCCATCTGAAACTGAAATTATTCCCGTCACAACATGTGAACAATTTGTTGATAATAGATAGTTGGAGGCAATTGGCCACAGGAAGCCCTGCTTGGACCTAGGTTTCGTGCTAGTTGGTACTCTCACCAATCAGTTAGGCTTATCTGCAACTTTGAAGGAACTCATGTCCCTTTCAAGACTCAAACCTGCGTTACCCACTGCTGCCCAGAGACGTTACCACTAAGCTTCCTGCCGTTGACTGCAACTATCTAACATCAACCATTCAAACTGCACCATGATGGCGATCTATCTAGAATGGTGGCCACATTGCAAACCTGAGTGATAGAATTGAGTCTGCACCAAACAGAGGACTATACACATTACACCATTTAATTTAATTTTATTTTATTATAGCTTGACTTCATATAGTATTTTTGATACAAGTATGAAATTTTGAGCATGTGATATCGGTAGCCCAAATTTTACAGGCCGACCATTGATATCGGATGTACGTTGGTTGGGGATCCAACCCCAGACAATGTGCATGGTCGGCGAGCGTCCTAACCGCTGAGCCAGTAGTTACTAACTAATGCCCAATCACTATGAACAATTTGTTCTCACTAGTGGTATTTAAAAAATCCAGACATAAATGCATAAATGCATATATCACTGATTGATATGAATACTCGTGTACCAGTTCTCTCAAGTAGCTACATAAAGTGAAGGTGATCTTAACTAATTCCACCATCTGAGATGAGTCAAACCAAGCATACGCTGGTGACCTAGACCTTGAACCAGAAAAGCGACCGTTCAGCGTTCAAATCATTTGGATCTGACTAGCAAGCACCACTAGTCGGTGTGGGTGGCATTCAATTAATCACAATAATCAGCAGTACGCAACATCATACAGTTTTCTATTCGTCTTAAATATATGTACAAACAGCTAAATATCTTTCAAAGTTGTAATAAAAACATTTATGCCTGCAGGTGGTCAAATTCAATTTACACATAACTTCTAGACTAATTCTGACAACAAGTGTACTTCTGTTGGGATATAAGTCATGTTATTAATAGAGAATAGAATTTTGACTTCATAATGTCTGCGAACAATTCAATAGGCAGTGAGTAAGATTCTGTTATATGAGTGATATAGAAAATATTTTTCAGTCATTTTTCTATAGCAGAGTGATACCAAACAAAGTCTGAACGGAATAAAAGTATAAAAGTCATAGTCTACCACCCTTCTTGATGTTTTATAAACACAATTCATAAAAACTGATGGTTTTCCTTATGGCAATATGGACCAAAAATCAACTTTAATGTCACTTATTAACCAGAAGAAAAAGCCTGAAGAAAGCCATATACCTAATTTAAACAAGTCTGACATATCGTAATCCTATTTATCATAGACATCAAGCATATTTAATTAGTCAGTATATCCAGGGTAGTCTTACTCATTTTGTTGACATAGAAGATAACTGTGACAAAGTGCTTCACTAGTTAGCAGATTTGCTTTCAAATTTCATATTTTATGCTTGTCATCTTGTCTTTAGGATGTGTTGTTACTTGAAAAGTAGAGACAGTGTCTCACTTCTTATGGTATTTTAGACGAAATTATGACTTACTAGCATTTGTACAGGAGAAAACAGGCGAATTACATTTAGGAAATAAGCAATAGGTGATTCATATTGAGTTAATTAATCATAAATTTATAACATATTAAATTACTACTTACAAGTAGTGTGATTTAAAATGAGTGTTATTCATATTTGAGGATGATTCAAACAGAGCATTAATGGAAAATTAAATACCTAGTGTTTACTACTATTATTTCATGTAAGTAAAATGAATTTATAACTGGAAAAGCCAGAAAACACACTGATATCTTATAAATTTGGTGTTTATTTTATGTTACCGAGTGTTCGTTTGCATTGATTGAATCGGTTACTGGTTTGATCACAAGTTTATATCGGTTAGGGAAACATTAAAAAACCAGGGAGTACTCGGTAGTTGTTTCGTCCCAGTTTGAGACTCCTCATCATGAGTTTGGAACAAGGATATCCTGGTTGTAAGATCAGCTCGTAGACCGTTCAGTCACTCGGACCCAATCGAATGCCCCCATGAATTCCAACTTCTGCCGATTCGCGATATATATATATATTGCCCAACCACTAGCCAGTGTTATTGGTGAGCACCTGCTCCCCTCCCGAGTTTAGTGAAGCCTACTGGTTTTATAAGCCACTAGATGTGGTCCCAGTGACTGAATGGCCTAAGAGATTCCCTCTGTTTCGAGTCTCGACAGGTGTGTACTAATAAAGAGTCCAGAACTAGGAGGAAACAGATGTCCAGTACTACCTGGTTTCCCAGTTGTTCTCTAACTGGTGTCATCTTGTGGTTAAACCTGTTTGCCTTATACCCCTAAATAATTTTCTGATTATGTTTAGTATGAAATAGTTAAGTGGCGTGATAACAGCCATCTAAAACCACCAGTAGATATTACGAATTGTTATCTTTCGATTTTATTGATATTCTCTTAGCTAAGTTCTTAGTTTATGACCCTCAATTTTTTGGAATCATAGAAGTCTGAAAAAGTTCTACTTCTGTTCCCTTTTTTTTCAAAGCACAATGTAGTTGCCTTTGTTTCTTTATGCCACACTGAAGTAACGCGCCTGCTAGCTGTTCTTCGACTTACTAAGGCTTAACTTCTGTTTGCAGACATTTTTACGGCATACTGGACGGTAACTTTAAAAATTCCTGCTCTTCTAGCTATCTTCAAAAATTTAAATGTAATTAAGAAACCAAAAACTTGGTGGTTTATTTTCATCATCACACTTCAGTAAGTGAGATTGAATGCTGACAATTACTCTTAGCTACATTGATTTACACCAATGTGGCTACAACAGAGTCTTACATTCAGTTTAAATATTAATCTTTGAAAACGTTAATTGGACTTTTGACCAAAAAACACAGTTTATCATCGTAAAAATGAAATCTCTATGGAAACCTAATTGAAAATGAGGCTATTTAATGACATTAGTCATTGCTTTATTTCAGCCATCAAGAAATATACGAACGTATAGATCTCCTTAGTAGCTACGATGAAGAACTTCGGTTGGATTACTTCGGAGATACAGCCTAAAATTGTACACATATGAAGCTTTGTATCAATAGCTGTCAAGCATGTAATATACATGAGTATTTGCTATTAATATTTATTCCTTTCTTATATGTCCTTTGTTACAGTTTCCTTTGTGTTTAGATTTGTACTACTTACCACTACTAAGTAGTGTGAACTTATATTTCGTTTATTGAGTATTTACTCAATAACCATAACTATTGTTCACTGTTGAAATTTATATTACCTGATGTATAAAGATTTTGTAATGTCTACTGTACATGCTTAATTCATATTTTACTCTCTGTCAAACATTATTTATTCTAATCCTTCATTGTTTTATCTGGATATTCGTGCACTGATTAATCTGATTGTGATTCGCCCTTAACACAACCCTTCTGTTATTTCTTATTAAGCATAGTGGCATTGCATTTGATGGCATTCAGTCTTAGATACCTCAAAATTTGAAGTCAATACATTACACTCATTATTTTATATGTATTGCATAGTACCACACTTTAGAAAAATCCTGCATTTTTTAAATTTTTCGCGCAACTCAAACGTTTGATTTAATTAATCGATTGCAGTTATCGCTCCAGAAGAAATTTGTGCTCTGATTATTTCATTATTATATGTGAACTGACTATGTCCTTGATTACATGTTTCCCAAAGCCGTTTATTTGTTCCTCTGGTATATTGTCTTACCTATTTAGTTCGGGCATAGACATTAAGTAATTTGTCATAATAATTAACATAATTCTGCCCCTACTTAAGTGCTACTAAGTCTATAGTTTTATAAAGCTCACTGTCTCAACAGTTAAGCTCTTTGTACAGCCGTTATAAAATTTCATGAGGTTACCTCGGAAATTCATCACTTTAATGCTCTAAAGTTTGTAGTAGTAAAAAAGATTAGGCAAAGTCAAACTTTAAACACCACTAATTACCAATTAGCGTCTGACTTTGAATGGACCAATGAGTTATATCCACGTGAGTTGAAGATTCTTTACAGCTTGATATGTGTCAAATATCAGGGAAGGTAAGCTGATGATTCTAATATTTCATAGGGACATTTTTTGACAGGTACCACTTGTCCTTAACCCAGATTTTGTCTTATTTGTAGTTACTGGGTTTTAAACAGCCTGTGACAGGTGTAACTGCTGAAACAGAGAAAATAGTATCCAATCAGCAGTTCAGTGGTACCAGTACTGCAGAGATATCGCGTCATGGAAAATGGAGTGAATTACTCCGTTATTAGGACGAGAAGGTATCAATGTACACGTTGATGAATGGAAAGGTTGTAACTACCTTCCATCTCTTGGATATATTCATCACCAGGTGAACCTTTCTTATGATTCTGTGGATCCCATTACAGGGAAGATTAAAAAAACAGGATTAAGGGTATTAATGGATCTCGAAAGGATATCACTTATAGTCGTTTAGATGAATACATGTATAGAACGTGGTGTAACTTTTCAGTTGATACTCCCATGCTCAACTGGAAGGTGTTTTTACCACATATCAGAGAAAGGTCTCCTATGAAACATTTTTATGCACTTTTTCATAAATATATGTTTTCCCTAAACAAAAATGCCTCCTTCGTGCGACTGGTGAATTCAAGTCATTCGCTGATTGGTAGTTAGTGGTGCTTAAGGTTTAATTTTGCCAAAGACTGAACCAATTCTCACAGATAAATATAGAAACTCACAAACTTATACAGGGATGCATTTATTACTCAAAATGGCATACTTACCCTATTCATCATTTTGTTATTATCTTGATTTTCATTCGATACATCTAATGAAAGAAAAGAAAGAAAGAAATAGAAGTAATTAGAAAAAAAGGAATTATTTTAAATTGAAATAAGTATTTATAAAACAAATACGACTGTTGTTTTCAAAAAAATAAAACTGAATTTCTGAAGATTTTCATGAAATGAAACCCCTTAAAAAGTCCGTCTATTTCTTCTTTCTTATTTTTTCATTTTATTTCACTTACATCTAACTTTTCTATTATTTAAAGAATATTTTGAACTGCTGATATTTATCACCATCAAGTAAGATATTTCATAGATAGGTAGGTAGATAGATAGATCATTAAATCTTCCTAATTCCATGATATAAACAGTTCATCATTTATGCTACAGTGTGTATCGTATTACCTCGTTAAAATCAGTGAACATTACTCATGAACATTTTTACGTACTGCTATTTATTTGTAAAGCATAACTCGATAGCTGAATATTCTAGGAGTTTGACTTGCATCCGGAAGGTCTTCGGTTCCAATCCCGGGTGGTAGGTGATTACTGCCGATGACTCCTGCACTAACAGGAAAAAGATGCGTAATACTCCCTAGTTTCAAGTCTTCTAACTAATATCAACCCATGATTAAACTTGAGAAAAGCATAATTAATTTTCAAAGTATCTTTTATGACTAATGAAACTAGTTATTAACCGATGCCATGTAACAAACAGATTTCTACTGTTTCTACTGTCTGTCTTTGCGTGTTTGTCGAATTTGAAGCCGAGAAGGTATACTTATGTTACATTTACACCTTCACTAATTTCATTTTGCAAAAATTCTTTCAATTGGTAAACTAATTTCAGATATGCCAAACTAAAGTGAACTCTAGTTTTATAATAATTATGTCACTTTTGTCTCAATAACATCAAATGCTATGGATAATAATAGATTAACATTCATGTACTGGTTTCAGGATTTTATCATGAACTAACATTAGTTAGAGGGCCATTGGAAAGCCAGCCGGGAGTACTGGACAGCTGTTTCACCCTAGTTTGGAACTCTACAGCATTGCTTACCCACTGAGGTACGAACCCAGAACCTTCTGGTTACAAGGTGAGCTCTTAGACCATTAATCCACTGGGTCTGGATCGAACCTGAGTGCTTTCTGTTCAGTGCTCCTAAGTTTTCCAATGGTTCTCTAACCAATGTCAGTTCATGATGAAATCCTGAATAATAGATTAGTTTCTTTTATAAGAACCAACATTTTAATTTATATGTAAAGATTAAGAGAATTATACTGAATTAAGTAAAAACAATATGAGAAATTAATATTTTTCAAAAAATGACAGTCGATATGAGTTACTTTCACGGACGTTCGTCTATTTAAGTCTTGAAAGTTTTTATTGATGTCTAAGCTTCAACCTACATATGTCATGGCTAGTAAATATCATTAACTAAATAATACTCATCTGAAGTATAAAATAATAACAAATAAATGTGAAAAAATACTGAGTGATTGATGAAAATAATATTTCGAACAAAAATATAGCAGTCTAAGTTGACAGACATAATGAAACCATATACAAAGATTGAGCAAAGAAATGTAACAACACTATAATAGATTATATACAAGAAACAGAATAATTAAATGGATACTAGGAAGGATATTCACGATGTGAATGGCAAAGAAGACATTAAAATATGTGCACTGTAATGGGGCTTGTTAGCCAAGACGCCAACAGTTCTCGACCACTGATGAAACTAGAGAAACTTTCAAATGGAATCAGACGCTAAGTGTACTCTCTAGTGGCATGGAGAAAATAGAGTAAAACAGAGACATGTTACTATCCTCCTTTTCACCAAGCTTCACGGCCCTCAACAACATTTCATTTTCTCTTTAAGTAATCTTCTGAATGTCACACTCAAAAACCCCATCTGTCGATTCAAATTTACATTCCTCTCGGTGGTCCGCTTAGCATATGAAGGTTTCCACAGAATATGTCTAATCAATCTCCAATTGCTTCATCATATTTGATGAGAAACATTTCTTTCGTTTGTTCGTTATCAGTCAGCTGTCCTTGTTGCTTCTTCTTTCTGACTGGCCATTGGATCTTCTATATCGAATAAAGACAACTGGTTGTTGATAAAAGTGTGTGCCAGCCTGTTGGAAATACTTTCAGTGATGCAAACGCCAAATCCACGAAACGCATAGATGCGCTGAATGGCGTAAGATTCAGTGCTGTTTATATGAACCACTTAAAAGCTATCTGAAAATTCGGATAGTAATTCTTGCACACATTAATTCAGTCCTGCTGTGGCGTTTGCTACTGATGAGATTTATCAGTAGTATATATTGATATTTTTATAGAGATGTTCATCGGCATAAAACGTCAAATAGCAAGGAGATAAATTTGATATCAAAGAAAGCAAATAATACAGCGTTGTGCAGATACATGAGAGACGTGAAAGGAACACAAAGAAAGGCAAATGAAGGAAGACCAGAAGTAGTACAACACTTAAAAGTATGCTGCTTCAAAATGAATCCACAATTTCGAAAAGAAAATTCTTAATGAAGCCAATTTCTCAATCTTCTAAGTCAAAATTAAAGTATACGGAAGTATTTTTATAACATATTCTTAGTTGTTATTTATATTACTAAGCATATTCTTGTTTATAAATGTAAGTAATAAATTCATATGAAATAAATAATAGTAAAATAAATAGTGAAGATTAATGGCAACATCCAAGATGACAATGTTTCATTATGAACATAAAATAAAGTATTATTCCTATGAATTCTTTCGTATTTGATTTACGATAGAAGCAAAAATGAAGAAGGATTGTGGCATAATGATTTACTTCAATGAATTGAATTATTAGAACAACATACAATGACTCAAATTTTTCATAAACAAAACACCACAAAATCCAAATATAATGAAAATTTCTATTGATACACTTTAACTACTTGTAAGTAAGCACAAAAGTTTACACCAATTAGTTTTTAGGGTTTCATTTTTTACAAGTTTGATTACGGTGTAATATCCGTTAGAGAACCACTGAAAACCAGTAGAGAGTACTGGACAGCTGCTTTGTCCGAGTACTCGGAAATCAATAACAGTACACACGCACTAGAGTTCGAACCTAGGGCCTTGCGGTAGAAGTTTGAATTCTTGGGCTGGCCGTTGCCTTGTTGCTTAATCATCGACGAACTTGACTTGTGAAAAGAAGTTCCTGGATTCAAATCCCGGTAGGCACATACTGCTGATGAGTCTAACGCTGGGACGATAAAGCAAAAGTCACTTTTCTTGATGTAATAGAATTTGGGTAAATAGTTTATTACTTAAATGAAATTCATGGGAGTTATCGGTCAACTAGGTAATCCATTTAACTAATACCTATAACAGTGGACTATTATGTTAAGAAAATCAGAAAAAAACTAATTGCCCATCAAGTCGTGAAGAAAACAAAAACCAATTCAATGAGGAAAATTTCTTTCCTCGACGAAATCTCTTTCAAAGGCTGTAAAATCGTATTCCTATATTACTGAGTAATACGAGTGTTTAACATAACTTATACAGTTACTCAGATGTAGTTTCTGAAGATAAAAGGAAATCAGGTAATAACTGGCGACACCGTGGAAGAAAGGGTTTGAAGTTTGATATGGTAAAAACTGTTATTATATGCGAATGGGAAGTGATTGAGTGTCCACTTGACAAGTGTGAAGGTGAGACGAAAAGCTTACAAAATGCATACAAGATTCTGCAAGAGAAGTGATAATGAATTAACTGCTAAAAATCGAAGCAAGACAATAGGACAAAAATTAGGAATACAGTAGATTGTTCAACTAGACGAACGTTTCCACACCCAGTGATGGGTGTAACACCGACAGATCGTTAGAGCCCCATCATTCTCAACTTTCGAAAAGTAACATCAGCTTTACCACATGAACTTATCTTTTAGGTAATTTTCAGCGAGGATTCCAGTGAAACTACGTGGTCAGAGTTCATCAGGTGCAGCAGAATCAAACCAATAACTGACTTGCATTATTTTCACTGAAAATCATGTTGAATAATATGAGGATAAAACTGACAAGTAAAATTTATAAGATGGATCGTGTGAGAGTGATACTAGTCATTCTGGACATTGTACTGTTCATTTTTTTATTCTTATCACTTTCACACTTGTCATTTGGAGACACAATAACCTTCCTTTTCATCTAATAACAAGCAGTCTTTACCTTATCAAATCTCAAAACCTTTCTTTTGCCATTTCTGAGTGATAGTATTAATTATGTCACACATCCGTATTATTGACATACGTTTAGTAAAAAATAAAAATGCGACTGCGCAAAATTTGAAGATGACTTCGTGGAGAAAGCAAATCTCCTTGACCGAAATATATGCAGAGTTGTAAAATGAATAACTCTGAATGTGACATATTGAGGGAGCGCGATGTATTTGGTTACTAATTTATATTATCAGAGTAATCCTACGCATGCAACCTCTACATTTCCTTCTTTATTATTATTTAGAGTCATCAGTTTTAACCACTGTTAAACAACTTATCAACCTAATCTTCTGTCATCTGGTAAAATATTTCCGTCTTATCAGCAGTTTATGTGAAACTTAAATACAGGCTTCTTAACATTTTCTTTGTTCTAAATTAAGATGTATGTAAACGTATAACTCTGAATGTGACAAATCAAACGAATATATTTGTCATTTTGAGAATTGTTAATAGATTAAAAGCATGGTGGCTGAGCGTTCATTCGACAACCGTGAAGAAGGTGATGAGAAACCCGATGGAATTCATAGAAACTACAAGTAAAAATGTGCATTGTTCAACATAATTTTCTGTCAAGATAATGCAAGTCAATTACTGCCTTTATTCTCTGGCACTTGATGAACTCTGATCACGTAGCTCCACTTAAGTCTTGTTTGAAAATTACCTAAAAGATAAGGTCATGTAATCTACAGTAGTCCAAGAGTTATTCACCCTAGGCTTGTTTTGTGCACTTGCTCGAAAACTAGACCATATACAGCAGAACTTAA